CTGGGGCGGGGCGGGGCCTGGAGCCCGCGCGGGCTCCCGGACAGAGGTGCCGGAAGTGCCCTGAGCAACCCGGGTCCGCGGCCTTCACTCCGCCAGCCCCCCGCTACCCCCAAACGGTGCGCATTCCCCTCCCCATTCCCGGCCCTTCCCACTCCCCGACCCGCACTCACGTAGCGGCTGCACATGGCCACGGCCAGGCTGCGCAAGTGAGGCGTGGCCCCCACCCACAGGAAGAGCGAGTCCGTCAGCCGCATGACGTGGAAGTGGACGAGCTGCTCCCACAGCCTCGCGCTGAAGTTGTGCAGGGACACGTCCCCGCCCGCGGCGGCCCGCGGCCCTTCCATGCCGCCGCCGTCCCGCCCACAGCGCCGGGACCCGCGGCCCGCCCGACGCCGACGCTGCTGCCAGACCTGAGCGAGCGAGCGCCGAGACGCCGAACGCGTCTTCGCTATCGACGGTGCGAGGCAAGGGGCGGAGCGTGAGAGGGGCCGGGGAGCAGGCTTTGCTAGGGCCCTGGAGGTAAATCCTGGGCTCCACACCTTGGGAGGCCCTCCAGGCCTCTCCCCCACGCACCGGTGCAAAACCGCCCACCGGAGGCTCAGACCTTTCATCTTAGCGACTCAGGAGGCTGAGCTCTGAATAAGTGGTTCCATGTCAGCCTGGGCAGAAAACACCTTGAACCTTATCTCCAATGAGCCACCAAAAAGCTGGACGTGGAGTTGTGGCAAGTTTTGAGTGCAAAAGCTCAGGGACAGCGCCCAGGCCCTAAGTTCAAGCCCCAGTATCAACACACACACACACATATACACAGAGGCAAGGCTCCTGTTGGTGAATAACAGCCTCACTCACACTCAGCCTCTCTTGAGTTGCCATCATGTACAAACATGGACCTTGAGCTAATACCCCTGTAACTTCCCTGAGACCCTGAGTCTCAGTGTGTGTGCGTGTGTGTGAACTGGGGTTTGAACCTCAGGACGTGGGCGCTGCCCCTTGGCTTTTGCACTCAAGGCTGATGCACTACCACTTGAGCCACACTTCCACTCTGGCTTTGCTGGTTAATTAGAGGTATACTCTCACAGAATTTCCTGCCTGGGCTGGCTTCAAGCCGAAATTGTCTGATCTCAGTCTTCTGAGTAAGTAGGATTACAAGCATGAGCCTTTGACACCCTGTTAAGACTCAGTTTGGTTTTCCACCTGCAAAATGGAAATAAAGAACCTTTAGGAACCGTGGAAAAGATGAGAGTACATAGGAAGCTCCATGAAGGGTGACCAGAACTCTGTAATGTTAATCCTGTGGGACACTGCAGAATTGAAACAAATCCTCAGTGGGTAAGAGGCAATATGGCCGGGCCCACTTTATCAGATTTTATTTTATCACAATTGACTTTTAGGATTTAAGACAGAACAATAAAGAGATCCACTTTTTAAATCTCTAACAACGTGTAAATGGACTAAATTGAAAGGTAAGCAGATACTGACTGCAGTTTGACAGTATTTTTGCAAGTCAAGTCTTACTCCTCACCAGTGGCACTGTTGGGAGGAGATGGGCCTTTGGGAGGTAGCGCCCAGCAGCAGGTCTGTAGTAGCTGAGGACCTGAAAGTATTTCTCAGGCAGTTCTCCTGAGAGCGTTGTGATAGAAAGAGCAAGCCTGCTCCCCTCCTCACTGCTTTTGGGTGAAAATGTGATTGCTTGCTCCAGCTGATGCTCCTGCATTCCTGTCCACACTGCCATGAGACCCTCACCATGACCAAGACCCTCACTCACCACAATGGAACCTCTAAAACGGAGGTAAATCTACCTTTTCTCTTTATAAAGTTAGTTATCTCAGGGATCTCATTGCAGCACAAAGCTACTGATATGGAGGATATTTTTATTGTTTTGTTCTACTTGCTAATTATCAATGATACACTAATAAAAGTTCATTTTCAGTACAGGTTAGTTTGCATTTTCTAGAGTTATTTAAAAAAAAAAACAACTCCAGGGGGAGGGGGGAGGCTGGGAAGGGATGTGAAGGGTAAACAAAGGAGGAGGCTGCAATGCTTGGTAAGAAATGTACGCATTATCCTGCCCAT